GATTCAAAAGTCTTTGCGTTTTCTTAAAAATTAATTTTTTTTTCGAAAAAGTGAAGATAGCTGAATACGTTGGATACTTTATTAATATTAAGTATATTAACACTTTGCTCTTTAGTAATTCCTACTGAAAATACTTCATTTGTTATATATGTATAGTAAATACAAAGTCGGGTAAAGATAAAAGATAAAAGTGGTCGAGTAAAAAAGTAAGACCTTAAGGTGTATGACAAAGTTTCTGCTTTTGTTTGATATTATTTAATTTTTTAAATGCGAAGTGTTAATAATAGGTTCATCGATTAGATCAAATATCTGTTGAGGCATTCGAGTAAATGTAACTGTACCATTTGTATTGTAAAATGCGCTTAGAAAAAGCCTCGTAGTAGAGTTTAGGGCATGAAGAAAGAAGAGGCATTATGCCGAAGAGGCCCCCACTTAAATGTGGCTGAAGAGGGCAACTACTATTGAGCTAGTGAGTTATTTTCAAAAGTTCAACACAGCAAGTTCGAACTTTTCGAGAATAGCTCTCTAGAATCATATTTTATATTTTATTATATTACATTCTTGCTCGTCATTAATTTATAGTTATAATTGGAGATGATGGACCATTCCATCTCCATGGGACACCAAATTCGTGTCTATATCGTCTAAAAGATGCATATGTGTTTAGGTAGAGTCAAAAATATTAAAATTTTCGTATTATTAAATTTTCAAGCTTAAATAACTTTCGGTAAATATTAAAGTAATATCTCTTTTCTTGTTTCATCTTTAAAATTTGTCACTGTGATCGTATTTTATTATATTTACAATTTTTCTTTTCTATATAATTTAGTTTAAAAATATTTCACAATAATTAATAGATATTGTGTGTGTTTTTTAGTAACTTAGTATTTTTACTTTTCCTATTTCTTTATTTTTATTTATTTTATGTAAATGTAAAATCTCGCGTAAATATTTAATTTCATTGCAATGATTAATGTAGAGATTTGATCAAAATAAATAGAGAATTTAATTGAAAAGTGCATCTGCGAATTGGACGATTTATATGTCAGGCTATTCTATCATTTGATTATATGACTAATATACTTTTCTTCTTGTTACAGATGATCATCTTTGGATTTATCACCAAAACTTTTGGATTCTTTTTTATTTGATTTTCTTAAATTGCTTCATTTTAAAATATACGTATAAATGCATTTCTGAATGCACACACACTTGTTTATACATTAAAAATTAAATATATTTATTTAAAATATCATTATACAATAGAACTATACTATCTATACTATCAAAGAGAGAGAGAGAGAGAATAATGTACTCTTTGATAGTATTAGTACCGTCATCACGTTTAGTACCTACTATTGTCCAATGGTGGTCCCAGTGGTAACAAAAATGATGCTGTGTAGATAATAAAGGGGACTTGTGAGTTTCTATATACTTCACCACAATAAATTTGGGATAGAATCGCAACAGCAGAAAAAATGAATATTTTCTCTTAATTGCTCAATCGAAATCCATAATTGCTTAGTTTGTTATATAATTATTTAATTAGTTATTAATAATTGAAAAATCGAATACAAATTCTTGTTTATTATCCGATGGTAAGTTAATCACTTTATAGCGTTTGTGTTGTGTTTTCTATTTTATTAATTATATGTTAGTATATCTATTAATTTTTTATTTTTTTATAAAATCTTTTTCTTTATATATTATAAATGATATTAATTATTATGAACATTTTTTGATTGGATTTAATTTTATTGGTAAACAATAAATGCATACTAATACAAAACATGATCTGTTTAATGCAGTTCTTTACCATACTCGACATGTGGCATTCATACTTTATATAAGTTACTAAACTGTACGTGTAATTTACAGATAACTTTTACATATGTTGAATTATTATATGTGCATTTTGTTGCATTTATTGTTTAATTACAGTTAACATACTACGTTATAGTTTTCTAATGTCAAAAAACAATCATTAATCGTTAAATATATATTTTAACCTAAAATTAAATTAAAAAGATAAAATCGTTAATTTTTCAAGATTTTATATAATTTTAATCAATGTGCAATGTTTTATTACGCACGTACACAATATTATATTTAAAAATAACAGAATAATAGTGATAATAATATTGTAGAAATAATATTTTTCTAAAAACAAAACAAAAATGGCTAAGATCAAAACTCAAGAAAGAATAATGAAGCCAAGAAGCAAATTGAACAGCAATCCATTTAATACTAAAAAAGATGCTAAAGCTAAATTACCAATATTTAATTCAGTCATTACCGCAGTATGTATTGCTATTGCTGCGTGGTTCAGTTTTAAAGGGTATCTTGAAACTAGGGTAAATACACCGTACGAAATAGAAAAGGTATGGAATATTTTATGATAGATATTTAAAACATTTAAACAGTTAATAATCTTAATTAAAATTAATTTTGTATAATATTTTTAGTTGGTAACCATGAACGGGTTGGATGTACCTGATAGATATTGGGGTACATATAGACCTAATGTTTACTTCGGAATGAAAACAAGAGATCCACATTCTTTGGTAACTGGACTAATGTGGTATTCTCCACAACATTTACGACAGGATGGTACTGGTCTTAGGCATTGGTGCGAACAGGGTGACAAATTAGATAGGTAATTGAATGCTCTCTTTTATGTTTTTAAATTTTTCATTTATTATGAAATATATTAATTAAGTTTAATTATAGATATGGTTGGTTGGAACATGATGGAAGAACATTTGGAGTCCAAGAAATAGTTGATTCGTCTGTAATTTTAACAACAACATTTGTAAAAAGACTAAGTGGTCAATACGGCGGTGATTGGACAACAAAAATTAGTGTCAATTCTAAAGATTCTAAAAAACTTGAACAGGAAATCTCTTTACTATTTTATATCGCTATTGAAGAAAATACCAAAGGATGGATTGAAGTGAATTCCGATAATGATGACAATTTGACAGGAATGACTGGAAATACGCAGGGATTAGGCTCCTTTAATATTAATATACATGCCACTAAAGGTACTATAGAAGAACATTCATTCTTGTCAACAACGTCGCCAAGTTTAACTGCGCTAACGGATACTGTTTTTAAAAATTTGAGAAGAGCATCGTATAAAAAAAGTAACAAGAAACATATAGTATTGTCTGGTGAACAACTTTCATTATTGGCAGATGGAACTAAAGAGAAACCTAATTTTATTGTTACACAAGTAACAGGAAAAGTTCCTTTTGAAATAGAAATTAATTATGAATCGGAAAGTTTCACCAATAGATTAAATAAATTGAGTAACGATATATATGATCAAGAATTACAAAAGCAGCGTAAATTATTTGACGAAAAATTTGAAAACATTTTCAAATTAAAATCTAAAGGTTATTCTAACGAAGAAATATCTTTTGCTAAAATGGCATTTTCTAACATGATTGGTTCCATCGGATACTTCTATGGAAGTTCCCAAGTTCAAAGTACTTACACCAAAGGTCCTGTGCCTTATTGGAAAGCACCTTTATATACTGCTGTACCTAGTAGAAGCTTTTTCCCTCGTGGCTTTTTATGGGATGAAGGATTTCATGGCTTACTTATTTCAGCATGGGATTTAGAAATTGAATTAGATATCATAAGTCATTGGTTTGATTTAATGAATATTGAAGGTTGGATACCGAGAGAAATGATTTTAGGTCCTGAAGCATTAGCCAAAGTGCCAGATGAATTTGTAACGCAGATGAATACTAATGCAAATCCTCCAACATTCTTTTTGACTTTACATTATATTCTTGAACATAAACAACAAGAATTGTTAGATAAACATTATCATCTCCTCGACAAATTATATCCTCGTCTTCAAGCTTGGTTCAATTGGTTTAATACAACACAAATTGGTGAATTTCCAAGTACATATAGATGGCGAGGTAGAGATTCCAATACTAATAGAGAATTAAATCCAAAAACTCTTACATCAGGATTGGATGATTATCCTAGAGCTTCGCATCCAAATATTTATGAACGACATGTAGATTTACGTTGTTGGATTGCATTTGCTGCTAATGTTATGTCCAGAATTACAGAGTTCTTGAATCATTCCAATAATAAATACCAAGAGACCTTTGATTATTTGTCCGATAATAATTTGTTGAATAAACTACATTGGTCATTTAATACACAAACTTACTCAGATTTTGGTCTCCATACCGATAAAGTTGTCTTAATGAGACCGCATTCGCAATCTAATGCAAAATCTTCAGAAATGGTTAGAGTTGTCTTAGACGATCCAACTTTAAGATACGTTGATTCCTCTTTTGGTTACGTATCCTTATTTCCGTTCATTTTACAAATTATTGATCCTAATTCGTTACAACTAGAAAAAGTTTTACAAGATCTAACAGATCCTGATTTACTCTGGACAAAATATGGGTTAAGATCGCTTGCAAAAACATCGCCGCTTTATATGAAATATAATACAGAACATGATCCACCCTATTGGCGTGGTACTATTTGGATAAATTTAAATTACTTAACAGTTCGAGCTGCTCATTATTATTCCAAAACTGAAGGACCTTTTCAATCAAAAGCAAAGAAAGTTTATGACGATCTGAGATACAATATAATACAAAACGTTATACAACAATACAGATATAGTGGCTATGTATGGGAAAATTATAGAGATACGTTAGGTAGTGGAAAAGGCAGTCATCCATTTACGGGTTGGACATCATTGGTGGTTTTACTTATGGCAGAAATTTATTGAAGAATATTTTATTACTCGTGAAATATATAACATACTCTTTTAGATATAGAGTAATATAATTAAAGTAAGAAGAAGAAACCAGAGGAGGTTCCTTCAAATTTATACAGATTTTTAAGTCTTGAAGGAACAACACAAACACAAAAAGATTTAAAATAATAATAATAATAATAATAATAATAATAAATTGATACAAATGATTATATAAAAATCAACTTTTAAATATATTATCAAAATATTCAGGATGTTTGAGGTTTTTCCTCGCTAAACGGTGTCAGTGTATTCTATGCACGAAAATAAGGAAAACAATTACACCCTGTATATTATAAAACTTTATATATAGTTCTATTTGTTAAGTAGTATATAAGTAATATGTACAGCACAATGCATTTAATGATCATAAAATATTTTATATATGCATTATTCTCTATTTATATAGCGAGGCCAAAAATAACAAGTAATAAGTAGAAGAATCAGTCTACATTATAACATATTGATCTATGCACACTTTACAAGGCAAATATATATCTTCATTATCATTATATTAGTTACGTATAGTACCGTAATCTACGTAGAATAATGTGAATGTGGCATGAACGACAGTGACACAACCATTAATCAATTTAATGGGCAGGACCTGTTCCACAAATATTTTCGATATTGTAATAACCCACTTAATATGTTATCTTATTAGAAACATATATATTTCCATTCTTTTCTAACAGCCAATTTAAAAACGTATACATCAATGTTTTTTTCCTTATTACACTATTTCAATACTTCTAAAGTATGAATAATTTTCAAATCAAAACGAAGAAGATTTGATTTTTTATTACAAAATGGATTATTAAAGTAATTTATATAAAAAATTATATTGTTAAAAGAATAATTAAAATTACGATTTTTATTTGAAAGAGATAATGAGAAAGTATCTTGCCACTTTCAGAGACACTGGCTGTGAATTGTTAAAATTTACTTTGTAATTTACTTTCAATAAATCTATTTACTATATTTACTTCAAAATTCTAATATAATACAATTTTGTTTAATTATTAATACAATATATATCTTTTTTTTTCGATTAAGTTTTTCTTTATTTTAAAAATATTTCTTCAAACTATCTAAAGACGTAATTGTGCAAGTGGATAATACGACAGTAGACTTATTGTTATTAAACAAAGTTAAAAGAGAAAAATGGATTTTATGAATTATAATATATACGAGAATGAATTGAAAAGTTTTTAGTCTTAACAAACAAACAAATTTTATCTTTATTCAAATTAAAATTGAGTTTGATGAAAAAGAAAATGATTTCTATATTAGGCTCAAAACTTGTCAACCCATTATTCACGCAATATTACACACACACACACACACACAATTTGTATAATAAAATAATACAATATAATTTTATATAAAATTACGAATAATATAAATAATTACGACACATATACAAAAAATATAAATCGTCAAATTGATTATTTACAAATTTTGTAATTTATAATTAATTTATTTTAATAATTGTTGTATAGAGCCGGCAAAATTGAATTTCGAGCGTTTGATATCTCGAATCGAATGCGAGATTCGATATTTGATTTCTCTCTCGCGGAATAATCGATAATTTCTTTCAGAGCTCGCCAGAGCTCATCTAAAGAATAGGTGTGTGACTGCAGTAAAACAGTCTTCAATTAAACAAGTTTATTTTAGATTATAACTGTATTTTTAATAATAATGGAGCCCTATGACATGATTGTTAATCAACCTGTGGTAATCGACAATGTGAGTGTTTGTTAGTGTTAAAATTAAATGGAATACAAATGTTCGTTGTCCTTCGGCAAATGTGTCAAACTCTGAGTCAGGCCATATTGTCGGCCGTAAACTTTGCCGACATTTATTCATATTTGGATATATAATGTGACATCATAAGTATATTATAGAGTTTAATTAACAATAATTGATTTTTTATTTCTATTACTTTATGTTAATATATCGTTTATAATTGTATAAAAATTGTTAGAAAATTTGTATTCAATGCTATTGCATTATACTATTTTAAAATCGATAATGGCTTTATGAAAAAATATTTCTCTTATTTAGGGTTCTGGTGTTATCAAGGCTGGTTTCGCGGGCGACCAATTACCAAAATGCAGGTTTTCAAATTAGTAAGTAAAGTAAATTGTTCTGGTTCATTAAAATTCATAACGAATATTCTCTCTTTCTATCTGTCTCTCTCTCTCTCTTTCTTTCTCTCTATCTCTCTCTTTGTTTTAGAGGTTAAAGACAGGTGGCGACTTTAAATTTGTCATTTGAGGAATAGTTAATTTTGACATTCTTACACATTATTCATTATATTATTAGATTTTTCTTTTTAGTATTTTTGTAGACTACTATAAATGATATTCTATCATTTTAATATAAGAATTTTGATGTTAGTATTTAAATATTTTATTATTTCAATTTTTGACAGTATTGGAAGACCAAAGCATGTACGTGTTATGGCTGGAGCTTTGGAGGGAGATCTTTTTGTGGGTCCAATAGCAGAGGAACATCGTGGTCTATTATCTATACGTTATCCGATGGAACACGGTGTTGTCACAGATTGGAATGATATGGAAAGAATTTGGACTTATGTTTATAGTAAAGATCAATTAGCTACTTGTTGCGAGGAACATCCAGTTTTATTAACAGAAGCACCGCTTAATCCAAGAAAAAATCGTGAAAAAGCTGCTGAAATATTTTTTGAATCGTTTAATGCACCAGCTCTATTTGTCTCTATGCAAGCCGTACTTAGTTTGTAAGTTATAGAAATGTATGACATCGTGATTGTATATAATTTTTAAAATTGTTTTATTATTTTGTTTTGTTTATCTCTCTTTTATTTAAACGTGCAATAGATATGCCACAGGAAGAACTACGGGAGTAGTTTTAGATGCTGGAGATGGCGTAACACATGCAGTACCTATCTACGAAGGTTTCGCTATGCCTCACAGTATAATGAGGGTAGATATAGCAGGTCGAGATGTTACAAGACATTTACGACTGTTGCTACGCAAGGAAGGTATTAATTTTAAAACCACAGCTGAATTTGAAATTGTTAGAACAATTAAGGAACGATCTTGCTACTTGGCAAGTAATCCACAAAAGGAAGAAACTATTGAAACTGAGAAATTTCAATATGTTTTACCGGATGGAAGTCATTTGGAGGTAAGAAAACTATTGACTCGCTTTATTTTAAACATTATACATTATTTTATATCATACTAATATATTCTTTTAAAATAGATCGGTCCAGCCAGATTTAGAGCTCCAGAAGTGCTTTTCAGACCAGATCTAATCGGAGAAGAGTGCGAAGGAATTCACGAAGTACTAATGTTCTCCATTCAAAAATCAGATTTGGATTTGAGAAAAGTGTTGTTACAAAATATAGTATTATCTGGAGGATCCACACTCTTCCGCGTATGTACAAAAATAATCTTTATATATATTTAAATAAATAGTACCATTATATACATATATTTATGTATATACTATAATACATTGCATATTTTGTTCAGGGTTTTGGTGATAGATTATTATCAGAAATTCGTAAAATGGCATCGAAGGATATAAAGATCAGGGTAAGTTATTTAAGTGTTATTACTATTATTATATATATATAATAATATACAGTTAACTAATTTAATTATTAAATATTTATTGTCACGACGTAGTAACATAATATTTTATATACGACAGATATCGGCTCCTCAAGAACGTTTATACAGTACTTGGATTGGAGGATCCATTTTGGCCTCTTTAGATACATTTAAGAAAATGTGGGTTAGTAAAAGAGAATATGATGAAGACGGTATTAGAGCAATTCATCGTAAAACATTCTGAACATAATTTAGAAAACTTTCAGGTAATATATGAAATAATTTTAAGTAAAACACAAATAATGGCACACTCGAAACAAACAACCATATTTATCATGTTATTCATACTTTCGCAAATTTAGGTTGTCCTCAGTTTTTCTTTCTTTCTTTTCTTTTTTTATTCTCGTTCTTTATTTTATATTTTTGCGCGCACAATTTACGCGCAAAATATATTTCGAGGGATTAAGAAATGTATATGAATATAAAATGTAGAACATCGTAAACTGGTAATGTTTTTTTTTTTAAATACATCTTGATACATCTTATGTGAAATATGAATTTTTAATAGAGTATTCTGAATGAGAAAAAAAAAATACAACCTCGTCTTTAATGTCAAAATATAATATTTTCTGATCCCTTAGAAATGTAAATAAGGCCATTTATTGACCACATATTATTAAACACACTAATATAAAAACAGGATATTAAAATAACATTTGTTTTAAATGTTATGTCTCAATTTTTATAACTTATATATATATATATATAATATATATATATTTATGTTTTCTATTATACTTTTTATCACTAGTTTTCTCAACGCAGTAGTAAAAAAAAGTGCTTTAACCGATCTATTTCGTAGATCAACTTATGTATTTTCATGTGCAGTAAAAAGTTTTGCAGTAAAATATTTGTAAATATGTATGCTTTCATAAAATAAATCTACAGTCTTTACAAATATATATATATTTCTCTTTGTCAATACATTTTGTAATCATGTATTATTATTATTATCTGGTGTGCTGCTTCGTACAAAAAAAAAGAAAAGAACAAGTAATTTTTATTAATATGGTATCACTTCACAATGGTAATATATTGTTTAAGAAAAGTAATCATTAATTTCAGTTTTATGCGTGAAAAACTATGATGTACATTGTATCGTATGCTTCGACTGTGATACAAGTATAAATAATCAGAATTGATTTAAATTTCTTACGATAAAATATATATATACATCGTATATGAATTAGAAGCATGTTATTAATCTAGAAAATGAATTTTAATTTATCTAGTCTTTATTTACAGCAATGTTATGATGTATCAATGGTATACATAATATGATCTTTATCGGCATATTATTATTATATCATTGTATGTGATCTTATAAATGATATTAAAATGAATAATAATGTAAAGCCTAAAATAAAACTACTAAAGTGACATTCCATTTAATTGATTGAACATTGTGATGTGTTGTACTAACAGTATTGTTTATAATTAATATTTATAATATTTATACTATTTTCTTTTTTTATCAAAACAAGTTTTCAAATATTTAACATATGTACTTTTATTTAAAATAAATATAATTAAAAGAAGAACGGATAATATTGCATAATTAACAATAAAATAATATGAAATACCTTTCTTCAATAAGTTTATTCGTAACAACTATATTATGTGTATAAAAATAAATATATTTTGCGATATAGAATTTAATATAAAAGTATATTCACATTAGTACACAAGAGAAAATTCAATATATATTTTCTTTCCTTATTTGTATTTTTAGTAAATTTTTATTTTAAACAATATTTTTTAAAAATTGTAATAAATAAGTACCACAAAAAAGAAAATATATATTATATTGTCGAACATAATATTAACTTATAAAATATTAAATCTTTGGATATATATATATACATAGATTATAATTTTATCTAAAACTTAGAATACGTTCTCTATAAAATTGTTCTTCATGTATAATAGGAACTCCAGTTATCATATATATTAAATTATCAATTAATTCGCCAACAGATGTATAGCAATATAAACATCCAACTAATATACCTCCAAGATGACCAATAAATGAAGAATTTGGTACTAATAGATATATCAATACTAGTTCAACCCAAATAGATATTTTACTCGGTACTCTTAAACCACCAACTTCATGAATTCTATTATTTTCTTCGCATATAGTTATAACTTTTAATGCGAATAGCACAGAAGAAAAACCAATAGCACACATCGTGTAATATCCGTAATCTCCTGTTAATTGCATGAGAATGTACGCGAGAGATACAAACATAGAACTGCATCCGATTGACAATAATGCAACCAATAATATAAAATTAGGAGTTCCGTACATAATTTCCAAATATGAACCCTTCAGGATAAAAGATACCATGTTGTAATAAAGATGCATATCGGATCCATGCTCAAAATTTGATACTATAAAAGAGCGCCAATCACGGTATTTAAATATTTTAACTGCTGATATACACGCATCTTCTGCATTCCATGGAACTTTGATTAGGCCTGTATAAAGTAGCGCCTAAAAATGTCGAATATAAATTAATAGTCAAACACATTGTTTATATGATATACTATACTTAAGATGTTAATATATGTAATGTATATATCAAAATGAATTATTTCACCTGTAGTATCACTCCAATTAAAGTAGCCGGAGGTATTTTATCAACTCCAATATTTACAGCCTGCATAAATAATAAATACAGGCCATATTGTAGGCCTTGTTGACGTCTTTGAACAGGCCTCATAATCGTTGACCATCCAAAATCACACTGTCAAATGATATTATATCTCCGAAAACTAACCTTTAGAGATTTGTATATTTTATAACATGTTGTAACATTTTTAAGCATCAATTATACATATATTTACATCATAAGTAATACAGTAGTACCAATATATAAAACATTTTCTTTCTAACATGTTTGAATATTCTAGATTTTTCCCGCCTTTTAAAAAGAATTTTAATTTTCTGATTATTAGATGTTTTCTTTTTATATAATCATCGATCAAAAAAGCACTCAAATTGATTGATATATTTTCATAAATGTGAAGTATTATATAAAATTAATATTATATAACATGAAAATTACATAAAGCTGATAACATTGGTGTTATTGGGTATTATACATGTAAACAACGTAAAAAAATATTGTGCAATCCATTTGATTCATTTAATGTACTTATAATAGTCATTATTTGTGTTTTATTTAAAATTATTTAGATTGAATATTCTATAAAAGAATATTGTATATTTATAAAAAACAAAAAAATTGATATTTGTAAAATGTATCAATGGTGATTACAACGCCATCATCTGGACACTTTGATAAAAAATGTTTAATTTTCAGTGTAAAGAATGATGTTATATTTGACCGGTTTATGAATAATTAATTGTTTAAAAAATGGCTATAACATTGTGTAAAATGTCACGATTTTCCAGATGTTATAAATATTTAAAAAATTATGATAACTTAAGAACAAATAATCGTTCCTTGTTGTTTTGTACAATAGCACAGCAACCAAAGTCAAGAAATTTATTAAAAATCAGCATTATTGGTGCATCTATCGGTATCATTGCTGGAGCAGGTTATTCTTTTTATAAAATTAGCGAAAAAAGAAAAAATGTAACATTGGATGGAATGCCTGTAAATCCAATCCAATTATTGAAATATAAACCACCTATTACACCATCTAGAAAGGTATTTTTAATACTTTAGACGGTTTTCATTTTAAAGCACGATAAATGATTATACAATATTACAAAATATATATTGCAGTTTATTTACGTATAATTTCATTTTATTTTTAGGTCATTTTTCCTGTTAATACGACTGGACTTAAACTTACGTTGTATCAATACCAAACATGTCCCTTTTGTTGTAAAGTAAGTAATCGTATACACTTAAAGTGTATATCATATTAATCAATAATTTTTAAGCCAAATATATGTATCATATTTATTACATTGATATAATTCTTATAATTAAAAAAAAACAATTGGATCTTTAGGTCAGGACTTTTCTAGATTATTATGGAATATCTTACGATGTCGTTGAGGTTGATCCAGTATTACGAAAAGAAATTTCTTGGTCTTCTTATAGAAAAGTACCGATACTTCTTGTTCAAATGGAAGACGGTTATCAACCTTTGAATGACAGTACGATGATAATATCATTGCTTTCGTCTTTTATGCGAGATAAATCTCAAAATATTTCTGAATTGGTTGAATATTATCCAAACATTGGTATGCACGACGATAATGGAAAATTTAAGTATGAAATAATGAATAAATATTTCTTAATGTATAATCAAATCCCTAAAGGTGTATCGATGAACACTATAGTGTAAGTTTTATTTGGTTATGTGTTTTATACATAAAATATAAAATAATTTTTGGTAAGCTTCTTATATACAAAATTGTCCGTATTACCAAAGATCATTTATACAAAATATAAGTATCTCTCTAGTTCTCTTTTTTATTATTTATTTATATTTAATTATTTCATTAGAGAAGAACGTAAATGGAGACAGTGGGCAGATGATGTGTTAGTTCATACTCTTTCGCCTAATGTATATAGAACGTTGAACGAATCGTATGAAACTTTTGAATGGTTTTCCGATGTAAGTATATTTATCTACTAAAAAATACATGCTAAAGTAATAAGTATTTGTTTGAAGTGTACAAATTCTATATTTCATTCAGGTCGGTCAATGGAAAGAATATTTTCCAGCATGGGAGAGAATATTAATAGTTAATGTAGGAGCATGCGCTATGTGGTTGATTGGAAAACGTTTGAAAAAAAGGCACAGACTAAAGGAAGATGTTCGTCAATCATTGTATGACGAAGTAAATAAATGGTTAAGAGCAATTCATGCTAATAGAACTCCGTTTAAGGGTGGTGAAAATCCAGATCTTTCTGATCTTGCAGTATATGGTATTTTAAAAAGTATTGAAGGATGTTCTGCTTTTAAAGATTTACTAGATAATACTAAATTGTCTACGTGGTATAATGCTATGAAAGAAAGAGTTGATTCATACGCTGGACATGAACTTGTAAATGGTTAATTTATATATAGAGAGAGAGAAAGAGAGAGAGTATTGTTATTTGAATCTATTTTCTTGGGAAAGAAAATGTAGTATTGCATTAAAAATGAAATTACTTATACGAATTTATACAAATTAAATTTATTTTATTTTTAGCATATATATAATTATAACAGTTTTAAATAATACATCTAATTAAACCTGTTCATATTTATATGAAATATTTATTTTTTACACAGCACACGGCAATTGACGATACCTTAATTTAAAGCCCTTATTCTGTGTGTCATTAACGTCATTGTCATTTGTAACAACATAAAGTACGAATGGTTTTAAAGTAGCTGAAATATTAATCAAATTAACATAATAACATTATCTCAATATTATATACAATGCAGATATATCAAAACGTATATTTAATAGTTAATATATTTAAATGAGATTTAGATTTATAAATACATACATGTTTTGGTTGTAAAAGCATTTCCACAGAAACGTTCTGTATTAAGAGGAATACCGTTTTCACTTGGATTTGGTATAATAACAAAATCATCAGTACAGTTTAATCCAGATTCCGCTACCGCAGAAGTTCCTACAATAACAATTTGTTATAATTTATGTTTTATTATGTTTTATTATGTTTTATTATGTTACACTCGTATTTATTTTACCTATTATAGTTGGATCTATACCACCTGTATCCTCAGAAATAGAAAATGAATTTATATCGCTTTGCGACCACTCGATGCTACAGTAACCTAATGCCATTCTAACGCAAACACCATAATTTAAATTAACCATTTCTCTAGTACCTACGGACGGTTCTGAAATATTTCATATTTTTTATTTATAGTATATAAAATATACAATGAAAAATTATTCATTTCTATGGTTACCTCTTGAATTCACAGTTGTACCGTAATTGAAACTTGTTACCGTGTCTGATACTGATTTGTAATATTGTAAACATCCATTAGGAACTAAAATATAATGTAGAATATTTTTTTCTAATATTTTCTTTAAATATTTTAATAGGAAATAATGAAATTTATCTTTGCACCTCTCCATAAAGAATCACATGCTATTTGTTGTATTCTTATATTCCAACGACGATCAAACGGATAATCTGCATTTGTTCCTATTGAAATGGTAATTGGGGATGCTCCATTAAAATCTGCATATACTGTAAAATATATAAAATATGATAATTATTTATTATTTTTATAATTTTAAATTATAGAAATAATAATTATATACCATGCTGATTAGAATTTTCCCCACATATACGTGGTACCGACGACGATGCTCCGGATACCAAAAACAAATCAAAATCACACGTTCCATTTGCATTAGGTTGGGCTAAACTAAAATCTATGAAATCTAAACGTATCTGCAAATATAAATAGGGATTTAATAATGATGCACATATTACAGCTACATGAAAAATTAATTTTATCCGTGTCAATACCTGACATATATCAGAGTTACATTTATTTATTGTTATCGTACATCGTTCTCCTCCTTTATAAGTGGTAGGATAGCCTGGATTAATAAAGTATGTGTTATTTATATTCGTGGTAGATCCGCATGTCTTTTGAACTGTAAGATCAAAATGAAATATAATTAATATTTATATATTTGTATTTTTTATAAACTTATAATACATTGTATATAATATATAATATACTAACAGATGCAGCAAATACCAAGACCGTTTGCACATGTACCGGACGGTGTACCACCATAGCTATTACATTCTCGTCGTGTAAAACATGTGCCATTAAGTGAATTACTTGCTAGACATTGAGAGTTAGCAAATCGTATGACACTGAAGAATGGAAAAACTGTACAAAAGTTTATAGTTATTTGCAAATGTTATATTTTTAGAATATTATCAAATTATAATATAACTATATCAATTGGTTTCACACAATAATCTTATTAAGAATAAGAGAATGCAGAATAAGACTTACATTTTTTCTGTCGTATCATGTAAGGATTATATGACACGTTATCCAAACTTTCATTATTCGTTATTGTGTTATTGTGATCAAAAAATTGACCATTTACGAAAGAGAATATAAGAAATAATACAGTTAACATTATACTGAACATCTTTAAAAGAATATCTGGCCTCTTCGCATTCTGTAGGACTAATAACGGTCTCTGTTTGTTCGGGCTGTAGAAATAATTAGCAAGTTCTCGAAAAACTCCAACTGGGTATACTGTACAATATAATATAACTGTAAAATGAAAATGCATCACGTGCAGCTCTAATACAGCTTTTATCTCAACGTTTTTTACTTAACAATATCTAATCGAGTACATAATTTTTTTACAATTAAAATAATCATTTATATTTTTTCATATTAATATTTAGACTTACTTTATATGATTTGATTTTCGAAGTTGTTCCGTTTAAACAAAGTGAATATATGTATATACAATTATATGTTTTACTATAAAACCTTTTTTTTTTTTTTTATATATATATATATATACATCTTAAAAAAGTCTTAACAGTAATAAAATCGATAGTTTATCTAACATATCATTAAATGACATAATTTGTAAAATATTTTCTCATATACAAAAGAATGCACGATTGTAATATTTCATGCTTTTGTTTAATTTCATATTTTTTAAGTTTTTGACGTATGCGAAGTTCTACAAAATGGACAATGGCCATATCTTAGTAATGCCAATTCATAATCGTCCGAATGAAATAGCTGAAAGATGATGATTATTATTTATAAAAATGTTATACGCGTTACATGCGTTAAATAATTTAATATGTTACTTACTTTCAAACAGGATTTACATAATACTACTTGAAGATCAGGCAAAAGATTTCTAAAATATTTTGTTTTAAATGGTTTTGGCCATTTAACTATTAAAACCGATGAAGGATCCATACTTTTTAATACGCTTCGTCCAACAATAACGGTGGAATCATCTGTTTTCTCCTAAAAGAAAAAAAAAATTTTTTCAGTAACAAAAAACCGAATTAATAAATGTTTTATGAAAATGACTGATTATACCTCGTATTTTATTAAACGTGCAGTAAAAAGATCTGTTTCGTTAGGAAATACAGTTAGTTGATCTTCAGTAGTTGATGTACTCGATAACGACAATGATTCTTCTATTAATTTTTCTGCTTCTTGATCGGTAATACCTTCCTCTAACTCAAATTCAACTAACGGTAGAATTTCTATAACAATAAAATATTATTTTGATATTATTGATGTGATATATCAAGATTAATTAAAATATATAAACTTCATTTTACCAAACATAACGAACGAATGTTGAAATTTAAGGCCACATTGTATGCATTTGCTACCAATATTGTTATCTATCGGTAAAAGTGGATTAAACGTTGAACACTTATAACATAATGGTAATAATTCTTCAGGATCTCTATACGGATAAGCTCTTGCAGCTAAAGTAGAAGTTTCAATTTCTGCAAGAAGGTTTTTAGAAATTTTCATTGTACGCAGTTGTTCGAGTAACTGCATAACTAATTTGTTGGCACCTAACAAACGAGCTTGCTTGATTAAAGTGTACATTATTTTTAATTTAGATACACCTTCTAATTGAATGCCTTGTGTTTTTAATAATAAATATCTTGAAATGTTAAATAATGCTTCTGGCATTAAAGACGTGAATGGTTCCTCCTGAAATAAAAGTAATATTTTATTATAAAATCATATTATAAAATTTTTTTCATCAAAGTTCATTAAAAAGAAAAAAAAAAATCAATCTTACCAAATATTTATGTATCTCATGATACGCATAATAAATGTCAGCTTTGTTGTAATAAGACAAATACATAGATTTTATTTCTTCTGTACTTTTTAACAAATTAAGACTAAGCTGAGATAAAAGCCAATAAAAATAACAGGCATCACGGTATCTTTTTTCAGCTATGGCATTGTCAGCTAAGCTCGTTAGTACACTGACCGATTCTTCGGGTTGGCCAGCCATTTGAAAAGCTAAAAAACAAAATTAATTAAATAGACATATTACAATTAAATTATAAATTAATGAAAAGTATAATAACACCTTCTTGTGCTTCCGAAAAACGACCAGTTTCTGCTAGCCATCTAGCATACGGTCCATATACTCGTGACTTTAATTTTGGATTTCTTTCCGCAAGTTCGAAAGCTTCAGGCCAAGCTTGTGCATCGACAAGTACATCAGCTACGTCAGGATCGTCGCCCAATCTACTAAAAATCTCAGCTGCCCCATGAGTAGCTCCTAACTGTTTCAATATCTTAGCGATCAGAGATAAATTATCTCTATCCGATTTGTCCAATTGTCTACCAACTTTTATGAGCATATCAATCCAACCATACTCGGCAATAATATTAATAGCACGTTGTGTATCACCAGCGGAAAAGAACATTTCCGCAGCTGCACGTGGTTCGCCTAAACTTTTAGCCCATTCTGCACGTCGACGTAATAAAATAGTACGATCCTGAAAAAATATTGAAGTTAAATTAAATAAATTATATTCGAATATTTGTTAGAGATCCCCATACAATAATGAAATATATAATTCTTAATTACCTGAGTATTACCACTTGCTATAAACTCTTGAGCAATATCAAACATACGTAAATCGGAATACATATCTCGAGCATACTGTTGTAAGCCTGCTTTTTGATATAATTTAGCTGCGTCTTTTAATCTACCCATTGCTGCGGCAGCTATAGCCATACACGCTTCTTGACCCCATTCACCGGATTTTAACTTTTCTTCTACCTCTGATACAACTTCAATATATCGTAGATTTTTAATACGAGCGAAAGCAGAATACGCTATATTTAATTCTAGATTGTCTAAAGCAGCAATTCCTAATGCTCGCCAATCTGATTCGGCAACACCAAGACACGCTACTTCATAAGCTTCTTTAAATGATCCAATGTCTAAGTATTGGTACATGAACAATGAAAGAGGTACCTGAATAAAATATTAAATTAACATCTTAATATTAACAGTTATGTAAACATATAAATATAATAAATATTTTATCTTATATACCTCTAAGATAATAACAGCAGAACCGTTTAAACAATATAATTTAGATCCATTGTGACCAACAACGAATCCTGAGAATTTCTGTCGATATTCAGAAAAATTAGCAACTTTAATCGCAAGATAATTGCTACCAGAAAAACACATTATATCTTCGGAAGCAGTATTATACGCGACGCTTGTAACATCTTGAAAATCTTGTAATTTTTCTTCCGTGTATAAATCGAATATGGAAAGAACTCCGTTTTCACTGACAACTGCCATTTTTTCTTTTAGAGAACTGATATCCAGACATCTTACTGATCCTTCCACTTTTGCCAAATGTGCAGGAAATGGATTATCCAGATAGATCTTAATTACGTGTCCTGTTTTTAAACCTGGTAATGGGATAATATTTTTTTAATAGCTATATTAATATATTACATTGTTTTTTTACTTTTTCTATTTTTAAACTTACCTATAATTAAGCATTCCTGTCCAGCAGGACCTCCTACTACTTTAATATAAGTTATAAGATCATCGAGAATCCATTCCCTTTCAACAATACCAGTGAAAGATAAACATTGTAATCGTTTTTCTAAGCATAATACCAAATGATTTGTTGTAATAACTAATAAATTACAATTAATTGTTTGATTAAGTTTTTCGCGTATACGATAATGCATTCCTTCGCTGTTTCCAGACGGTTCATAAATTATTACTCGTTCTGGTAATTGAACGGCAAGTCTGTTTCTATATACAGCAATACGACATACCTATGTGAAAAAATATTTGTAACAAATTTTATTAATCATTAAAAATAAACAATTAAAACATTAGAATATATTATACAATACGCGTACCAAGTCTTTACACTTGATACGGACTTTTTGATTGGTTACTAAATGTTGAATTATGACATCAGTCATATTTTCTCTATAAGCATATCTATCTTTGTACAATCCGTGTACAACATTCCACGATAATTGTAAATAAGTTATTGTTCCATCTTGACAACCGAGTGCCTAATAAAAAAATTGATTTAAATATTAAATATTAAGATACATCTGCTGATTATTTATTATTCTTTTTTAGAAAAATGATAAAAGATATCCTACAACATGTGAAGAAGATGGATGGACAGCACAACTCCAAACCCATGAAGAAAATGTATTACCGACAACAGCGAGTTGTATACCATCATGAGTCATCAAAAGACATTGTTTGTTACTACCAGAAACAAGAATATATTGACCATCAGGAAAGTAGGTAATTTTTAAGGGAGTAAAGTATACTGTTCGTTCTCTTCCAATAGGTTTTCCATTGATCGTGTAAAATGAAATAATTCCATTCCATTCTGCAACACATAAGATGTCTGCAGCATCATCTCTGTAAAAAAAAGAATAGATATTTTTTAAATTTTATATCGCATATTCCATTTGTACATACAATTATATAATACAATCATACCGCAAAGGATTCCATGCTAAACTCCAGATGGGTACACCTGTTTGCCTTTCAATGCGTATCTTTTCCTCGCCATTCTAAATATATAATTGCAAAATTAAATAATTTATTTGATAAATGTATTAAAAAAAAAAAGCTGTAATGATAATAATAGAAAATGATAAACCTTGTTTCTGATAGAAACGTATCCAGCTGCTAGACCAATAGCTAAATACTGGCCATCCAAAGTCCACGCACAACAATTAACTCTTCCTCCAGATTTATGTTTTTGTACTGCTTTTTGTTCGGCTGACCAAAACGCAATATCAGAAAGGGAACAACTGAGTAACTGATGTGATACAGGATTAAATTGCATCGCTTGAACAGCTTCATTATGCCTATACATTTAATATCGAAATTATATTATCTATTTTGTTAGTTTTTGTTTGATTATAACAAATATGACTTACGAGTACTTCAATATTCCTTCTAATTTGGAAGTCCATATAATGACACTTTTATCTGCACTACCCGATGCAAATCTTCTACCATCTTTAGCGTAACATACACAGTAGACTGTATCTTTGTGACCTGTAGCAATTATAGTTTATATTTCATTAAATTCGTAAGTAATGTAAAATATAAAATTATATTTTATTACCAGCAATATAAATGCTGTTACCTTTTAGCGGTTGTACCAAAGCACCACCAGTAGTTTCATAAACTAAAACTTGATGTCCTGCGGCAACAACTAATTGTGTGCCATCAGGATTAAAACATAAATCATATATACTGAAAAAAATGTTTCATTCATATTAAAACTATATATATATTCATAAAATATTTGATAAAATATATTATAGTAATATCATTTGAAAAAATATCTACCATTGTTCTAATTTATCTTGAACTTTATCAACCCATGCTGGATGTGCCCTCATTATATATAAATCTATAGAATATATTTCTTTATTAAACAATTCTAACAATGTTCATTATCATTAATTATTAATTTATGTTCAACAATATAAATTAACGTAGGACTTGTTTTGAAATTGTTTGGTTACCAGGGTAACACAAGTTTCAATATGGAAGAAAATGCATTAAATGAATATCTCAAAAAGACTTGTAATTTTTAAATATAAATATGATTTATTCAATATATTTAATATAAACATTTAATATGAATATATATTTAATACAATTTTGTTAATAGCTTAACAATATATTTAGCGTGAGTGAAATGTGATATTTGTTTGAAAATAAACATTTAAATTAGCGTTTAAATTTCGCGGCAATAAAATATTAATCGATAATAACAACTCTGTCGATAAAATCGTAATATCTATTCTAAAGTTTTATTGGCCAATATTATAAAAAAATTTGCTTGGTATCATTCGCACTAAGGAAAGACAGAAAGAGTGAAAGAGATAGTAATATATAGGCTTCTTCACTTAACTTCATGCGAATCGAGGTAAACGTTGTACGCCGTGAATTTAGCAAAGTCATAAATATCTGTCCATGTGACATTAGTTGGGAGAACGTCTCCGAATGCGGTAAATCGTGTTGTCAAAGATTCGCAAGTTAACGTAGATTTGATTTGCCCCTTTCTTCGATTGTGACCAGATTAGAATAATTAATTATCTTTGTATGTATTCTTTTTATCGCAGTCAAAGGTCTAGTTTAACATGATCAAATTATTTTCGTTGAAACAAGCGAAAAAAGATGGCGAGTCACCAAAGGCTGGGACCCAGAAAAAGGCATCAGCAGCTCAGCTGAGAATAACGAAAGGTCCGATTCGGCGCAATACAATAATTATTATCTTTCATATGAAATTATTGCAATTTATAAATATTAATTATTAATTATGGTTTTTATATTTTATAGATATTAACGAACTTAATTTACCAAAAACATGCGGTACGGAGTTTCCCGATCCCGATGATTTATTGAGTTTTAAATTAATTATTTGTCCAGATGAGGTAGGTTGAATTTGATAACAAAAATAGATTCTTTTTCGTTTCTAATATATCTTATAATATAACTATAGTTATATCAATACCACTGACAATAACAATAACAATAACAATACAAGATAAAAGATATAGTATTTATGTAATTTAATTTTATTGAGTATTATTATAGATTTATTCCACCTCTCCATTATAATCCGCATTGGATTGTTTTCCAGGGTTTTTATAGAGGTGGTAGATTTGTATTCAGTTTTAAAGTTGGACCAAATTACCCTCACGAACCACCTAAAGTTAAATGTGAAACTCAAGTATATCATCCCAATATTGACTTGGAAGGCAACGTGTGTTTGAATATTTTAAGAGAAGACTGGAAACCTGTTCTAACTATTAATTCTATTGTTTATGGACTTCAGTACCTTTTTCTAGTATGGGCTAGTCATGTTTTCTCATTTTTGATTAACCCCTTGCACTATAACAACATGTGAGACTTGTGATAAACTTTACGATCCAAACATGAGAAATGTTGGTCTTATTCTCGTGGTGAATCTTACGTACTAAAAAGCACCAAATATAGCACCGACTTTGGCATGCAGCTTTGTGCATTAAATTATAATGCAAGGGGTTAATTTAATTGTATATATGTGGGATCGAACATCTTCATCCCAAATAAAGTAGGCATTCGTGAGGAAGTTGACCAGAGAGCCGTGGATAGCTGAAAGGTTAGAATAATCACCTGGAAAGCAGAAGATCAGGATTCAAGTCTCGGTTCAGTCAATCCAATGGCCAAATTTTTTTCACGAATCCTACATATGTATATATGGCACAATATGCAGCAAAACAAACAGTACTGAAATTATAGACGTGCTCTGAACGTCAAGATGCATCTCATTACAATACATATCTAATTACATTGATACAGCATATGTTCAAAGTGCATCCATTGTTGTTACAGTAGCAGGTTTTTGGTACGATATTCAGTACTATTTGTTTTGTCGCATACTGTATACTAAGTAGTAGACAAATTTTTGAATGAATTATAAAGTAAATGAAATTACTAATAATAATATTATTTTAGGAACCCAATCCGGAAGATCCTCTCAATAAAGATGCTGCAGAAGTATTACAAAATAACAGAAGAGTATTCGAACAAAATGTAGCAAAAGCTATGAGAGGCGGTTATGTAGGAGCACTTTGTTTCGAACGGTGTCTCAAGTGATACAGTATTTCATCATTGTTACTGTACACATTTCTTTAGGGACTCACTTTGGGAAAAAATATCCTAATACACATACAGGGCATAGATAGGAGGACTATGAATCCTGTTAATTGCGTGATTACCACCTTTTACACATTTATTTTCTTTATATTTTGCCAGGCCTATATACGTCAGTTTCATTTAAATACACTTTATATTTTTCAATTATAAACCTATCCAAATGTTGAATATATGCAAACATATATATATATATAAACATATACATATATTTATATATATAATATAGTTTCATTATTTATGTTAACAAAATTATCAAGATACGTTTTGGCCATGGCACATTGATTTAGTGTGAATTTTGTGGAATGCAATTGAAGAACGATAGATCAATTATAGTGAGCATTCCTCTCATTAAAATAGGTGTTGCTGACTAATTCATGATATTTAACTCAGAGTGGACCTTAGTCATTAGGTATATTTAACTTTTTAGCTAGATTTTTGTTTTTCTTTTCTACCATCATCATAATTTTTCAATTAAATGTATCATTATATTTTCACACACATGTATCATTATTAATCTATTAAAAAAATTACCAGCAGCACCTATCATCGAGTTTATCTTCAGTTTTTAATTATGTATGTGCATGTATACGCATATACGTAATATTTATTATACATATGCGTATACATATACATATATAATTTAATATAAACAATGACTGAGGTGGACTGTAAGGCTGTTATAGAATAACAGATATTTTATTTGATTTGGCAAAGATTGCACATATATTAAAATATATATATATATAAAAAAAAAAAAAAAAAAA